TCATACAAAAAAGTCAAAGATTCTCTTTTCTCTCTATTTTTTGTACATCTTTTCGTAAAAAACTAAAAAATCATCCCAAACATACTAATTTTTTTTAACTCATATTTTAGCCAAATAATCAAAAAATTACTAAATTAGTCTGTTCCCAAACGATGCTAATACATACCTTTTGCAACCACCATGTGATGACAAATGGAGAGAGGGGGTGAGTTGGTTGAGAAACGTGTTCTCAATTTTTAGGATTTGGAACTTAATAATAAGTGGGCGTAATGAGACTTTTTGTGGTGTAAATAGAGAGTCATCCAACCCTTAACCCAGCGAACAATTGACACAAAGCAAGGTTCTTCTAGAGTTTTTTTTCCCTAAAGTTTCCTAGAGTGGTGTATTGTGTAGTTGAGATTTAATGACAAGTCACATCAATTTTTCAACATTAAATCTCAACCACACAATACACCACTTTAAAAAACTTTAAGAAAAAAACACTCTAATGTTGTGTTTGGTTAGGAGATTTGGAGAGGGATTTGGAAAGGGAAATGGAAAAAGTAGGTGAAATATGAATAAATCATGCCTATATTTCACATAGTTTCACACACCTTTTCCCTTTCCCTTTCCAAATCCCTCCCCAAATCCCCCAACCAAACACACCATAAAGGATCCTTGGTGATAGTTGATGGCATCCAAATATTTGGGACTAGTCGGCTTATGTAATCACAAAAAAAATAAAATAAATTAATAAATTAATAAAATAAAATATTACATCTAAAATATTATATCTAAATCATAAAATAAAATATTACACAAAAATAAAAATAAAAATAAAAAATTCCTTCCACACAAGATCTTTTAATCTTAGACTAAAATAGTAAAAAAAAAATCAAAAAATCAAAAAATAACTCATATTGCAAACGAAGCCATTAAGACTAATTTCTGTGAGAGAAACCATCCAAATTCAGAAAATGGTGTATGCATGTCATTATTGTTCTACAAACATTAACAACAAAAACATTAGCAACGAAAACATTAACAACTGAGATAGCAACGACACCAAAACATCTCCAGGGAGGGCACATTCGTCAGAAATCCCCAAAAAAAAAATGTTTTCGAAAACACCCACATATGTACACACCTTCGAGAACCCCCCAAAAAACTACAGATTTTCAGACAAATCTCAAACAAACATTTTCACAAAGACCTCATCGTCAAGCTCGTCCGACCGAGCTCTCAGCGATCTGAGCGAGCGATTGAAGATTGCATCGAACAATCGTCTCCACAAACACGCACGTCTCTTCCTTCGTATTCCCCGGCGGCGTATCCACGACGTACGACTCCACAACCACCGTTCCGGCGCCGTCTGCGGCGGGGTGGAGCGTCGTCACCGACTGATAATTCGCGAGGCGGTGATCGCCGCCGACGACGCTGAAGCTGATGACGTGGCGCTCGTCGTCGAGAATCTCGAGCCGCTCAGTGCTGTTGGCGGCGGGGAGGCCGGAGATGACGTGGACCTCCCGGACGGTGCCGACGTTGCCGTTGCCGTCGATGAGGTGGCAGCTCTTGACGAAGTGCTTGTACGCTTGTGGGTTGTCGAAGCGGCGGACGACGGACCAGACGGTGGAGACGGGAGCGGCGATGTGGTGGACGGCGGCGGAGCAGCACTGGTTGGGACCCACGGCGTGAGTGTGGTAGCGCGCGACGGAGTCCGGCACCGGAGTGGCGCACGTTAGAGGGGTACGCCGTTGATGGGATTGTTTGTGGCAAGTGTTTGTAGTGGTGGTGTTGATTCTATGAAGAACAAGAGATGATGATTTTAATGGATTTGAAAGCATTTTTTTTTATGGGTTTTGGATTCTGCTTTTGGGGAAGAGAGATTGGAGGATCACTTTTCAGATTCCGGCTGGGCTGCCTCTCGGCGGAGCGGACACCACAGGAGGTGCCGCCGCCGTGGGGCTGGTGGTCAGATCGATTGGAATCGGATCGGGTCATGGGTTGTACGACCCAGGTGTGGTTGGAAGTAATGAGATTCAGAGCCGACAGCGATTCGGAGATCACGAAGGGGTTCTGTTCGTGCTTGATTTGAAGTAGGAGGAGAAGCTGTAGGAGTAGGAGGTATGTGTAAGTGATATGTGTTGAAAAACTCCCGCGGGCAGCGAAGGCAAGGTTGCCGGCCGGCTGCCCGCCGGTGAGAAAACAAAATACAGGCCTAAATCTTATAGCTCTGATACCATGTAAGATAAATTGAAAGAGAGAGAAAAATTGTATGTATTATGATTGATGTATTGATTGTTGTATGTTTACAAAGAGATTTACACTCTCTTTATAGAGAGGAGAAAGCCAACATTGGGTGCCAATTGAGGCACCGAAAGCATAAAGCAAACTAAACATAATGATACCACTAGCATCACTAACATATAATATTAACATATTTTAACAACTATAAAAAACTGGCAATCTCTGTATCTCTTTTTTCTCTCACCAACTCCTTGAGGAATCCACCTTGTCTTTTGTCTCCTACTCTAAATGGCATTGGCAAGTTGTTTCCTGCTGCAGGCCTCACCAAGCATTGCCTTCAGATATCAATTTGTGGGACTTCATTGCTCATCGGACTCGGCTTGCTTCAGATCACTCTCTTTTTCCTCTTCCCTCCGCAATTTCTCCCCCAGGTAAGCACCTAATGCCTCTCTCTCTATCTTTTTTGGCTTCAATTTGTACAAGAAAAGATGAAAAAAAATAATAATAAAAATAAAATACAAGCTTCAAATTGAAACCTGTGACTTAAATTTAAGTGTTTAAAAAGGAGTTTATTTGCTTGATACATGGGGTTTTTTTGGGATCTGGTCAACTGGTTTAAATTAGTTTTTTTTTTGTTGATAAATTCTCTTTCTAATTGTTTTATTCCATCTACCTTATATTCTTTTTTGAATATTACATTAAGTCATGTTTAATGAAATATGACCAAATTATCTTTTCTAATTTTTTTTTGTACATGTTTCTATTTTAAAATTAATATGTAATAATAATCTCTCATTTTAAACCAACTAGGCCTAGCCTAATTCGCAACCATGCCTTCTTTAAGGCTTAATCTTAAAGAGGTCATAAGTTCAATTTCCCTACGGATTGAATTAAGGAAGTGCTTGGGAGATTTTTTCTCATAAGTGTTAATTTAACAACTAACAACTAATATTTGTCGATCAAAAAAAAAATAAGTCCATCATTTTATGGAAAAAATCTCTATTTCGTTTTAAAGAGAAAATATTTTCCTTATTCCATGGAGAAAATCTCTCCCTTATTTTAAGAAGAAAATCTCTCCCGCATTCCATGGAGAAAATCTCAAATAATGAATTTTAAATCTTTTTATAATTTGAAAATTTTAAAAGTAACGCAACAAAAAATCTGAATAAAAATTAAAATATAATGTGAATATTCATAGTAAACAACAACATGCAACTAACTTTTGAAAAAAGCTAAACACATACTAAATTACAATGTGAATGTTCACAATAAACAAGCATACAAGTAACCTTCAAAAAAAATAAAATTCATTCCAAAATACAATATGAATGTTCACAATTTATAATTAACATATAACCAACCTTAAAAAAAATAACTTATACCAATGTAAACATTTATATTGCAACGTGAAAATATAAAATAAAATTGAAAAAAATGAAAATCAATTATTTCAATTGTTCAATGGTAACAAAAATGATTGTTCAACTAACAAGTATAGTAACAAAAACAACAAACATATAATTAACTTTCGAAAAAACAAAACTTATATACCAAAATATAATGTGAATGTTCACAATTTATAATTAATATACAACTAATTTTTTTAAAAAATAAAATCAAACTAATGTGAATGTTCACACTACAACGTGAAAACATAAAATAAAATTGAAAAAAATGAAAATCGACTATTTCGATTGTTTAATAGTAACAAAAATGATTGTTCAATCAACAAGTATAGTAAAAAAAAATACAACTAAATTTCGAAAAAAAATTAAAAAAAAAATTCATACCAAAATATAATGTGAATGTTTACAATTTACAATTAACATACAATTAACCTTAGAAAAATTAAATTTATACTAATGTGAATATTCACACTGCAACATGAAACAAAATTGAAAGAAAAAAGTATTCAGCTTGTTTGGTACCAGTTTTCAGAAAATTCTACTTTTTTATTTTTCGTATTTTAATGTTTTCAATGAATTTTTTAATATTTTAAGTAATTTTTTTTTTAATTTTTAGACACACCTAACATAAACACACTTAAAAAGTATAATAGTTGTGAAAAAAAACTTTAAAAAATACACTTAATACCAAAAAAATAGAAAAAAAATACAAAAATTTAGTACATTTTTGTATTTTTGTGTATTTATTAATTTTTTAAATTATTTTTCACAAATATTTTATTATTTAGATACATCTAAGTAAAGTGCATCTAAAAAGTAAAAAAATTAAAATTTATAAAATATTTACTAAAAAAAAATACGAAAAACAAAAAATTTAGTTTTCAAAAAACTGAAACCAAGCACGCTAATTACTATTTTAATGTTTTAATGGTAACAAAAAATGATTGTTCAAACAACAAGTATAATAACAAATAACCAATGATATGTGAACATTAACATCTTGCAAATATGTCCATATCTATATTCCAACACTTATTTCTCAGATTTTCAAACAATGTAAAATGTGAATATTCACACTGATTGACATAAAAATAGAAATAATGATAGCAACAGAATTAGAAATCCAAAAAAAACTCAATCATTCTAAAAATAAAAAATAAAAAAAATCATCCAAATACTCATCTTCATCATCATCTTTATCCAAGGCCGACCCTGGGGTGAAGCGACTGAGGCGGTCGCCTCGGGCCCCCCAATTTTGAACAAAATTTAGGACCTCCAATTAGGGGAGTGTATCATGTCATGTTATTTCATAATTATTTTAATATTAGCTCAATTTATTTATTTTTATGTTGTCATGTGGTATTATTTTGATTCGTGTTCGATTGATGTTTAATGTGAAAACTTTCACTTTTAGTGAAAAATAACTTAGCAAGTGTATTGAGAGATTAAAATTTTTCTCATAAGTTGAATTTTTAAAAATTTATTTGAACTAAATGTAATTATTCATAGAATGTTTGTTTTTAATTCAATTGCATTTTTCTAATTAAAAAAATTGTACATTATTACTATATATTTTTTATTAGATTGACTCTAAAATAGGTAACAAAAAAATATATATCTTAAATGAAAAAAAGATATTAGCCTTAATTATTATTTTACATACTTTTTTATTCAGTTAGATAGAGTTAAATAAAAGATTAAAAAAATGTCATGGCATCCCTTAGTGAACATTCAAATATATAACTAATAATACATGTTATTGAGTTGTGTCATACTTAGATTCATGTTGAAAATAGTCAACCTTAACTTCCTAATTTTATATATTGCTTGAGTTGTGTCGAAAATTCTCATCTTTGCCCCCAATTAATTTTTGTTCTTATAGCATTGGTAAGCTAAAAAATAAAGATTTGATTCAACTAATTGAAGCTCAATTATTATATATATATATATATTTGTTATCTAAATTTTGTTAAATTGTAATGCAATAGAAATAAATTTTTATCTTTTTCGTTTTATCCAAACAATTTTTTTTTTTTTTTTTGGATAATGATATATGAAGGGCCCAATTTAAAAAATTCGTCTTAGGCCCCTAATAAGTGAGGGTCGGCCCTGTCTTCATCATTATCACTATCATTAACAATCTATACAATTTTACTATTCTACTAATCTAAATCAAACCAAACTCACATTTGAAGAATATGTTTGTAACAAAATTGATTGGATATAAACAGAGTTTCGACTTACAATAATGGAGAAATATAGAGTTTCTAACACAGAGCAACAATGGATGAACATAGAATTTCGAACACAAAGTGACAATAGAGGAATACAAAGCTTCACCGTAACAATGGAAGAATATAATATTATTTCACCACTATGTGTAAACTAGAGTTTTTAAACCCTAACAAATAGAGAGTTTTGAAACCCTAACACAATGAAACAATACTACAAATGTGAATGAAACTGATAAAAAAGAAAAGCGTGAATAATGGTAACTACCAAAATAGAAGTAGCAACAAAAAGAAAATATGTATACCATTTTTCTATGTAATGTATATCAACAATAGACATAAGGGTATAATAGTTCAACAAACAATATAAATCAAGAAAAAAAGGACATCATAGAATAAAAGTATAAATACATGAGACTAATTAGGTTATAATTTTTCTCGATGGACTTATTAAGTTAGAATATCTCCAAATGAGATTTATTAATAAAAAATCCTTGAATAAATTCTATTATTATTATTTTTTTGTTCCTACTTCAATTGGGAATATCTCCATTTGTATGGTAATAGTTTTATTTTTTTTTATTTCAGTTGATAAGAATTGACTCATTTCAATGTGCCTGCGAGAGGCAAATTGCCTGTCTTTGTATCTAGAGACAGATGCATGATTTTAGCTTTGAGGGGTCGAACGTGTATATATATATATATATATAATATAAAAAAAGAAGAAGTTATAATGAAGTGGAAAATGCAATATCAATTTTTATTAAAACAAAATGTATAAAATATCATAAAGCTATGTTATTAAATATATTTATTCATTGTATATAATTACAAAAATATGATCAATAGGATATGTGATCAGATAACTTGCTATAAAATCAATCTATATTGTGTGGGTGAAAATCTGACCACGTATATAATTACAAAAATATGATCAATAGGATATGTGATCAGATAACTTGCTATAAAATCAATCTATATCATGTTTTTACCAATAACTGGCACAATTTAAAAATTGTTGACAACTTTTTAAATTTGGGATGCTTAAGGATTTCAATTCCTTAGTTTTGTGATTGAAATTTATTTATAAGTTCTCAAATATTTTCAATTTTGAAAGACTTATATAACTATTGTTAGGATCGGAAACAAAGCTAAGAAACTAATTCCATCACAATTTCCCTAGTTTAATTCTTAAAAGACTAAATATGGAAAAGAGAGAATCAAAACAAAGAAACAAGACGAAGGTGAAGAAAAGAAGCAAAAAAAAAATTGAAATAAATATGGGAAAGATGAAAAAGAAACCAAAAATGAAGACTGAGTTGAAGATAGAACCAAAAAATCAAAAATCAAAATCAAAACAAAAGAAAACAAGATGAAACAAGGGAGAACTAAAATAGATAAGAAGAATAACATAGAGATAGAGAGAAAAAGCACACAGAGAGTTGGAATGTGAAGATGACAACTTGAAAGCGAAGGCTGAGTTGAAAATCCAAGTTGATGGAAGTCGTTTCACTTGTCATTTGTTTTTTAAATATTCCCTCTAAATGATTTTTTCAAATGGGTAACTATGGATATTCGGCTATAGAATGAGAAAATCTTAGAGAGGCGAGTATTAAATTTTTTAATAAAATCTTGGGGTGGCAAACTTATATAATTTAGGCATATTCTTAACTAATATATTCAAGGAGTTTTTTTTCAAAATTTTGAGGTGGCGGTCTCCCCTATCAGCCCCCTTCGGTCCATCCTTGTTTGTATCAAGAGGCAAAAACAAAAAGAGATAAGGGTTTGATGGTG